TTTGCCTAGCCTGGTTGCCAACCACGGCTAGAGATAGCGGTCTGTCTAATATTTGACCCAGAGTTGGAGGAGAGGACAATGGATTGATACAGTACTTTTTTTCCATGAATATTTGTGTAAAAGAGAGTGTATCGAACTGGATCGGAATACGAAATCATTTCGGCGATTTCTACTTCCGAGACGCTAACCACAGCACAGGCTGTTTATTGATTACTTTATTGGATTTTTTACGACTTATCAACCCTTTGGGAGTTATCTAAAGCCGAAACATATTTTGAATTGTCGAATCATTCATTTTTTTTTTGCGATTGTCTTTTGAATAACAATGGTTTTTACAGATACTTTTCCTATTATTTAACCCATAACTGGGGAGAGAAGGAGATAGATTCATACCTTTCCGAAGGTTATTTGCGCGAAAGTGAATGTAATGAATTCAATCGGGATTCGAACTCAGTTCGCTAACTTTTCGTTCCAAGTCGCTAACCATCGTGCATGTAGTATAAATAAATAATTCTTTTTTTTTTATTTTTTGTCTTACTCCTTCAATTAAATTTATTAGGTGAATCGAGAGAAGAACTCTCATTTGTTTTTAGTTGGCATTAGGAGCGTTTCGCTTCTAATATCGCCTATTTGATTGTATTCTAACAGCTGTCAATATAATTTTGTTAAAATTAAGAATATTTGGTGAAGTATATGTTTTTATGTCTATTTTATTTTAAGTACGTTTAAACGCGACTGATACACCACAAGATGTATGCCTTTTCTAGAGAATAAATTCTAAATGATTATATTTGTCAGGAGTGGTTTGCGATACTTGCCGAAGAGTCAGCTAGAGTCTAACTGACCGTTTAGCAAACTAATTTTTTTTTACAGTGACCCACAGCAAGAACCATATTTTGCATCGTGACCCATTATACCTACTGTAATAAATCAAAGACAAACTCTGTCCAATAGGTTTATTTATTTACCATCAACAATTTATATGTATATTTCTTATGATCCACACATATTGGAATTGTATGTATCTATTTGTATTATTTATTTGTATGAATATAAAATTATTACTTTTAGAAAAACAATTTTAAAGGAAATTTCGACACAAAGCTAAAGTAAACAATATTTGAATGAAACTTTAAATGCATGTGAATTATCCAACACTTCTAACGGCTTTCACCGGCTATGAAGAGGAACGCACTCCACACCTTCGTAGCTAATTTTTGGCGTGAGGTCTCTGTGAAAGAGAACTGATGTCACTCAGTTTGCAACAAGTTTAACGAAAAAAACATATAAACTCAGTGAGAACAGACTATATATATATATATATATATATATATATATATATATATATATATATATATCAAAAAATAAAATAAAATACAAGCTTATCTCGGTGAAAACTGGTGATGATTTATGTGTGCTGTGCAAGATTTAGAGTTGTTTATATTCTACACTTTGCTCTCACTTGCGTATATGTTTTTCTTTCTTTTTTGTCACAACCCATTTTATTTATCTTGTGACCCATTGTACTGTTGGGACCCACAGTTTGAAAAAGCCTGTTCTAGAAGACGAAATGCATTACACAGAATAAAATTTATAAAAGCTTTCTCTTAAAACTTAAAAAAGAAATTTTCAGGTGAATCGGTTTCTCAAATCCACTAGCAGTTATTGCTCTTTCCAGTATTGATGGGGGTTTCCTTCCTAACCTTTTATTTGAAATAGTGTGGAATGTCAACATCTTCATTATGTCATCATTTTTTCTTTGAGTTAAATGCAATATCCATTTTAGCTGTTGCTGCTGTTGAAAGTTTTCAAGTGATGTGGTTTCTGTTATTTAGTACAGTTCTTTGTGATTCAGTAACTGCTATTGGACTTGAGAAACCTATTCTACTGAAAAAATTTTTTTAAAGTATTAAGAGAAATCTTTTATAAATTTCAACTGACAGTAATACAAGCTGCTTGGTCAATAAATGTTTCCTTATTAGAAAACAACTAATATTATCATTACCATGTAGATTTGATTTTTCAAAAAATAAAATATATTACAAGCTTACCTCGGTGAAAGACTAGTGATGATTTATGAGTGCTGTGCAACATTTACAGTTGTTTATATTCTACATTTTTCTCTCACTTGCGTATTTGTTTTTCTTTCTTTCTTGTCACAACCCATTTTATTTATCTCACGACCCCCTTGAAGGAGCGGGACCCACAGTTTGAAAAAACCTGAGCAAGACTAAGTGGAGCTGACAGCGATCAAATCAAGATTTTATTGGGGAAGACAGCAACCAACGGAAATCTTCAGTAAGGAATTAGCGGGAAAATTGCATTTGGGGGATACTAGACCGCACGTTACTGAGAGAGAGAGAGAGAGAGAGAGAGAGATAAGGTTTTGGGAGGATGATAACAGGACGAGATACTAAATAACATGCCATTCCACTTCCATGGAGTCAAAACATCCACATTTCCCCCATGTTCCATATCTGAATGACAGCTTTTCAATATTTACCTTTCCTTCCTTGACTAGCAGCATGGGCCGGCGTTGCTCGTGCTTGATTCAAAAATCGTATGACTCATACAGCAATCGCTATCACCTGACTTAAAATATTTTTGCCCTTCCTTGCCTTTAAAGGAGTGCCCTTTGCCGTGCTGATGTTGCTACATGCCTTACTTCTGGCCTATCTCACACTGCGAATTTTTTCTAAGCTCTATACTAAACATTAACTCTGTTACGAAAAAAGAACTAAACAAAATGAACACAAAATGATCAGCTTTAAAAAAGTACTCGTAATTGGAAAAACCGAATGAAAAAAGAATGTTAACAACAAATACTTTTTCACACCCAACCCAGTTCTGCGGAATCAGAATCAACGTTGAGTTTAAGCAAGCGAATGAGCCAATTGGAGTAAAGTGCCATGCAGATTTAAATTTTTCCCACTTGTGACGAATGCAGGCCAGTCGAATCTTCCTGCCTATTTGTGGCAGCCAGCTATAGGATCTCACTCTGGCCAGTAGAAAATGGCCGCAAACTCCATGAAAACTGCCGTAGAAGCATGAAAAAATCGATTATTTCCACTATCGATGGGAGTTGGGAAATGCAAAGTCGGTCTTGGCCTTTTTGCTAACTTGGAACATGTGCATGTAAATTTTGGTGCAAATCAGTCGAAAATTGCGGCCGTGCATTCGTTACACACACACACACATCCTGCCTTTTATAGACAGAGATACAGTTCCAAATAATTTGCGTGCTCTTGAGGGATGGGACCTTGTTTTCCATTCTGCAACCTCCTTCGTCCAGACGTAATGCTGCAAGCCTGTTACTACTCTATCGATATTTCCATGGCAAAAGTTCAGATGATCTGTATTCTTTTTTCTCCTCTTCTCATTGCTATCCTTTTCTTCTTCTCGTTGCTATCTTTTACTTCTTCCAGGTTTTTTCCTTCTCGCTACCACTTTTATTATAACTATCTGACGTTTAATTCCCTGTCATGGCTCCAATGAATACATCAAGTATTTCTCTTGTCTCAAACACCATAGGTTGGCCATAATAGACAAGTTCCAACAATCTTTCGTATGTTAACGAACTTGTCTGAAATCTTCATTTTACCTGTGTTTCATTTAAATTTCATTAGATTTATATTTAATGTTTCTCTTTGGAAGTTGCAACGATGACGTCAGCAGAATTTCTTTTTGTCCTTTAATTCGCATGTGCTTCCTTAAAGTTTAACACTCACAGGGCATATTGAAGACAAAAGGGACAGTGAATACATCAGGTAATTTACCTATCAAGCTTGTTTAAATGGATCATAGAACAGAGATTGCGAAAGACAATGGAAAGACAAACTTTGCTAAGAGCTAGGTGTTGTGAAAAGCAGTGAAAGGAGCATTTAGATTAAGGATTTATATGTATTTTATGATGATACAGTCTAATTTAAGTTTTCTCTTTCATTTATTAAACCTTAGTTCCACCGGCTTAGAATTTATAGCTAAGACCCGACATGCCACTTACAGGGGGCAAACTATCCTCATTCCCATTGAATTCAGGAAATTCCATTCGGACACGGTTTTCCCAAGATCTGCTACTTTGTAGAACATACTCCCGAGGTGATGCTTCCCAACCACTGCAATCATACCCTCTTCAAGTCCAGAGTCAACCTTTATCTATCCTACATATCCTCATAATCTGCAATTACGATGTTCATAAAACAACCGCTTTCAGTAAGCCTCTAGCTTGAGTGGTTCTTAGGCCTGGTATTGGGCAAAAACATAGAGTAAAATTATACGTTCTGATCAATACAGTATTTTAAATGTAGGATGAAGTTAAGTGTGGGGTTAAGTGTATTCTGTCATAATTATTCGGTACCCTAGAGATTCTGTACGATGTCGGATAATTGGTGGTAAACCTGTAATAAAAAAAAAAACGAATAAAAAAAATAATAAATGGTTTGGCAAAAATCAAAATTCTCTTCTCAGATTTATTAAAGTTATACATAATTTTCCCGAGAAACGCTAGATGACTTTCCCTGGTAACAATTTTTTAAGCAATGTCTTTCTTAATGTTTTATTTTATCTACTTCAGTTTAATTCCTTTACGAAATCTTTCCTCTTGATGTCGCCATTGTTTTAATTTATTCAAAATGAAAGGAAACGAAGCGGAGTCGTTAAGGAACAAAAAGGAAAGGCCTTTTCACATTTCTTGTTTTTTTTTCCAGCCGCCATCTTTTATTCCTTATGTATCGTGACGTTCAGTCTTTTAGAGTCGGATTCCGCTATCATATGCTAAAAGAGACGAAACAAAGTAAGCTTTCGTCTTTGCGTTGTATCGCTTTCTTAGCAAAAGCGGTATATATGCTTATGTGTCAGTGGCGAGCAAAAGAAGAGGTTGATGTAACAACCGGTTCCGGGAGGCCTAGCAGCGGTGCCATGGTGCGAGAAGCGAGGCCGCTGATGTGGTGGGGACAGAAGAAATGCAAGGCAACACAGACGCTTAATTGATCAAGAACTTAATGAAATCAGTTTTTTACTATGATTTTTCTTTGTTCTTTCGCTTCGCCTTTTTGTTCTTTCTTTTCTTTAACGTTTACTTTTGTTCCTGTCGTCTTCCTCTTCTTTTTATAAATTACATTTTTTCTTATTCTTTTTCATCCATCTTTCTTTTTTTGTTTTCTTTCTTTCCCGTATCAGACTTCCGCGTATTTACTTTGCTTATTTTCGTCTTTCTTTTTCTAATTCTTTATTGTTATAAACTTGCTTCTTTTATCTTTCCTTTAGTTCATTTTTGTTCATTAATATATTTTGCTATTCATCATAGCTCGTTAATTTCAACTTATGACGCTTTAAAACTATCTTGTGTTCCTTCTATTTTACACGAATTATTTATCTTTTTTCATCGTCTTCCTAATATGTTTCCCTTTAGTATTACTTTATTTATTTCAATCTTCTTCATTTCCGTTTTTTATTCGGGATCTTCTTCGTCTTCTTCTTACATTCCCTTCTTTTTCTTATTATATTTTTTTTCTTCTTCGTGAAATTTTCTTCTTCTTCTTCTTCTTCTTGCTAATAATAACAATTGTGTTTTTTGTTCTAGCTTTTTTCTTCCTCTTCTCATTACTATCTTTGTCTTCTTCTCCCAGTTTTTTCTCCTTCTTCTCACTACCTTTTTTTCTTTTTCTTCTTGCATCCTTTCTCTTCTTTTTATTCCTCGCTGTTTTTCTTCTTGCATTCCTTTTTTCTCCCCCTTCTCACAACCACTTTCTTCTTCTATCTTTTTTCTTTTTCTTATTGCAACCTTTTTCTTTTTTTCCTTCCTCTCTCTTTTCCTTCTTGCATTCCTTTTTCTTTTTGCTATCTTTTTCTTCTTCTTGATATCTTTTTCTTCTTCTTGATATCTTTTTCTCATTATGTTTTTTTCTTCTTGCTTGTTCTTCCTCTTGCTGCTTTGTTTTTCTTCTTCCTAATTTTCTTCTTCTTGCTATTTTTTTTTTTTTTACTGGCTATCTTTTGTGCCTCTACTTACCATCGTTTTCTTCTTCTTCCTCTCTTTCCTTCTTTTTCATTTTGCTATTTTTTTCGTTTTTGATATGTTTTCATATTCTGGTTATCTTATTTTTTTAATTCTTGATACTTTTTCGTCTTCTTGTAGACTTTCTTCTATTTCTTCCTATCTTTCTTCTTCTTGCTATAATTCTTCCTCTTCATGTCTTTCTTATTATTCTTGCCATTTTTCTTTTTTTTCACGCCTTTCTTCTTTTTCTTCTTCTTGCTATCTTTCTTGTCCTGTCTTTTCTTTTTTTCTTCTTCTTCTTCTTCTTCTTCTTCTTCTTCTTCTTCTTCTTCTTCTTCTTCTTACTATCATTTTCTTCTGCTTTTTGTTATCTTTTTTCTTCTCATTATTTTTCTTTTTCACGTCTTCTTCTTCATATTAACCCTTTCTTTCTTTCTTTTACTTTATGGTTTATCTCTTTTATTTATTTATTTATTTTTTGA